GCCACAGGGGAGCTCTCGCACAAGGCGCCGCCAGGAAGCTGATGGGACCTACCGACGAGTTTGGGCATGTGGGTTCCGAGAGCGGCGTTTACAAAGGATGACGGGCTGAAAAAGTAGCCCTTGTCTGGTCATGTTCGAGTATTACGGTGGAAGACGGACCGAAGGACATGCCGAGTGTGGTATCTCCTTGCAAGACAGACGACACAGAAGGTCGAGCATCAGGCAAGCAGCCTCCCGTTGTGGCCAATGCCGGAGGAAGGGCAAAAAACCCGGACATGAAGCTCTGGCTCTGGGCGGCAAGCTCAACGCCTGCCGGGCGTGTTTATGGGTTTAGGGTTTAGGGTTTAGGTGGACAAGATGTTCAGCAAGCCTTTGAACAGCGCGGGCAGTCTGACAGATCGTTTTTGACTCAGCCTGGATCGCGAAAGAACACTTCGACTATCCGAGTTGCGTGCGACACCAGTCGTCGCCGGCATCTTTCCTTTGCCACCTGGGGCTTCGAAGCACAAGAATTAGATAGATTCCAGACCCGAGGGTATCAGCACTAATGTGGAGAGAAACCTGGTGCCTCAGAAGCGGTCGCAACATCTGACGCCTCAATCACGAAAGCTAGCTCTTCCGGAGCTTGCGGGAGTTGTCTTATACAGGTATATACAGGTTATATGGCATCAGCAACGTGCCTGCATTCTCCGTGCCTGCACCTTAACCCCGCCCTCCACACTCAACGAATTGAGAAGCAATGAGGCAAGGGGAGACATGTGCTTGGCCAAGGAGCTTAGTGCAGAGCTGCGATTGATTAAATGTGCGTGAGAGAGAGCGAGAGAGCGACAAAGTCTGCTGTAGCTTTCGGTAAGTATCGCTCGGGCACAGCAAGGACTTGCTTGCAGGGTTCGGAGATGTCAGTGGCCACCATCCAAAGAGCCAGCAAGTTTCTTTGCCTCCCTCATTCCCTCTAAGCTTTCCTAGCCACCACAACTGCTCTGTTCGAAATCCTGATGCCCGCGTTAAGGTGCAAAGTGTTTGTGCGCCCCTTTCTGCAGCTGCCAAGTATCAAGGGACGAAGCCTTTTCCATGTCGGCTTCCAGACTGTACACCCTGAAGACCTTGCATGTAAGCGCCCCAGGCACATAAACAGCAAACACGCCCTACATCGGATTTCCGATGATTCCGTCCAGATGTTGGACCGTCCCGTGACACGAGTGCTCGTCAAAGTCACGAAGGCGTGGCTGGCAAACCAAAACAGCCAAAAGAACGCAAGATCCCGTATGAAAATGCGTGTATATATGGCTTGCGCTCCGGAGGCACGCCGAAGCCCAGCACTGGCGCGGGCGCTGTCGGAGTTGGGCTTCTCAGTCGACTTCGAGTCATACTATAGTCTTCGTACACCCTCGACCGCCCAGTCCATTGCGAGGGTTATTTTGCGGCTGTGCCCCTGCATGATTTAACTTCCCGCCATGATGATCTCTGTTTCATGTGAATGGCCGGCCCGGCGACTGCAGAATCCGGCCACGCATAGCCTGTGTAGTCTGAAGGAAGAGGATCAAACTCAAGCCATGATGGAAGCGTGTGAGCAGACTTCATGCTGCTTGCTGTCTCAGGCTTCTCGGTTCTAAATCCACTCCCAGAGCACCACAAGGTGCTTGGCAGTGGCCAGGAGCATTTCTGATCTGTTCGCACGAGTGTTGAGCCGAGCGAGTCATATCCAGATTGTATCCTCTCCATTCGTCACCTCTAAATCAATCACTCAGCTGTGGCGACTGTCTTCCTTGCAGCTGGAGTGTGATCCACCTACCCTCAAAGCATGCATGTCGGAGTGAGGCATATCTCTGCTCTAAGACTCTATCTGGTCCGGGCCCACGAATCCTTCAATCGAAGTACAATACGTGAAACGCTTCCTGAAAGCAGCAATCCCTATTTCAAGCATGGAAACCTGAAACTCGCCTCGTCTTGGCAGCTCCTGGTGGCTGCACCACCCGGCCCGTGGCTGTCACGAATCCGAGGTCTAGGAGGCCTGCGGCATGTAGGAGGTGCCCAGAAAAGTCAGAAGGTTGCAGGACATCGGGTCATCGGGGTGCGCAGTTTTTGCGGAGGCAGTGCTTTCTTGAGCTCCAAGAGAGCAACTACATGTAGCAGGCAGTGTGTTTGGGTCTTGCCAACTGACACGCGCACCCTTCTTGCCAGGCTATGCAGAGACTAAGTCCTTCAGATGCTCTAGACTCTAGACTCTATATAGTCCTGAGGTTCTTAGCAGTGCAATTCGTGAAACTTCCAGGCCCGCAGTATAGAGCCAAGAGGGAGTGCAGCATACTCTACGCGTCATGCTGGATGCCGGTTGGGCTGCTCTGCACTCTGAGTTTATGTTTGCATCATTATCATCACGTGAGGATAAAGGATCATAGGAACTGTACTTGCTCTACAAGTCGAAGGAACCAAGCTCCTTGAATGACTGGCAAGATGACCTCACCTGTGGGTAAAGAGACTTCATCACCATGATACTCTTGCTGCTAGGCGTCGAAAGAGTGCACGTGGCCACGCTCGTGGCCAACACCTGGCAAGACTTTTGCCACGAAGTTCACGAGGTGCAGGGCACAAAATGAAGAAAGACCCAGCAGTTGTCCCATTGCATAGATGGCATAGGGTGCCACGAAGACTTGACCCCTCTCAAACCTGAGAGAGTCGAGGGTTTGGCCGAGGTCCCCATGGCCTCAGCTGTATTGCAGGAGTCCGCAAGAGCTTTGCTCACCAGCAACTCATGGACCCGTCGACGGGCCTTCACACTGTCCTCACACCCTCTTCTTTCTCCTTCGTACTTCAGCCGCTGGCTCCTCTGGCTGGTGACGCCATCTCCTGGCCCTGCATGACAGACGTATCCATGCCCCCGACTACCATACCATTGCTGCCATTGCTTAGCATTGTGGAAAGTTGCTCGTGCCCTCAACACACTCCACGGAAGACCACTCAGGAGGGCTGCCATCGTGTTCTCCTTCGATGGCTTCGTCGGTTGTTCCCCACCCTCCGTGAGTGGTCGTTGGCCTTTACACTCAACCATTTTCCGGTCTACTCCTGTAATTACACTGTAATTCGACCGGAAGGTTGACTGGTTGCGACAGCTGGAGCTCCGGCGCGCTGCCGGACAGGATGCCTTTCCCTCGGAACAAGGCCCGAACGCGGAGCCAACCTTCCAGGGCTTAGGGCTTGGCGACATACATCCCCGCGTGAGACTCCTGAGTCCTGAAATTTTGAGGGCAGTTTGGTTTGACCGCGCATGCCGAGGTTCGTGTGCATCCGTGCCTCATGCGCGGAGATCAGAAAATGCTCACTTTCTGCCGAAATGTTGGAAAACACAGGGTGTCCTTACTTTTCGTCTGTGTTGTTGAGATGCAGGCTATGTGTGTTCAGGTGTGTTCAGGGTTACTGGGTTTTGTTGAACCTCTTAGGCGTTGGAAAACGCAGGGTTTTTGCACTTTTCCTCTGTGTTGTTGAGATGCGGACGATGTGTGTTCAGGTGTGTTTAGAGTTATTATGTGGTTTAGTTTGAACCTCTAAGTTCATGGCTAAAGGCAACATGTCAGCAGCAGCTGCAGGAACGGCAACATGAAAGCTGTCGAGCAAGTCGTCATTACCTCGCCCGCACCCCCTCACCCTGCTTCCAAAGTCGGAAGCCTGCAGCGAAAACTTCGACTCCAGGAAGAAGGCAACGGAAAAAGTCCGAAACTTCTGAAAAAAAACAAAGCACCGACCCCCAAAATTCCCCCGCGGGCATGCAAACACTCACATGCCCTCGCACAGTGACACATGTTTAGTTGTTTCCCATGTGGTAAACGCACTTGTATGTTGGTTTGTCTTGGGGGGTTGTTGTTGGACAGCTCAGTTCGCGTTCGCGTAGTTAGGTTCGGGTTACGATTGGCAACGATTTGCAATTACAGTAACCTATACATCTGCAGACTGCAACCGGGCCTTTACGCGCACACTGTTGCTATCACCGCCTGAATGCTTCCAGGTCGCCAAAAACTGTTTTCGACTTGTTGGGCTCGCGTGATTGCATGATATCGTGCACTTAGGATTGGGGCCATGTCAGTTAGACAGTTAGACATGACAAGTGATCCCCCAGGGGAGATGCTGCGCTACTTCGTGCGCGCACGTGTGAAGAACGCAACCGACGAGGTTCGGAGCCATGCAGAAGATAGCAGAAGAACTGTTTGTAGCGGGCCACAGCCCGGATGGCTTTGGTACTCGAGCACAGGATGATTTATCTTAGGATGGAATATCTTGCGATTTAAATCCTCGGTGATGCGCTTTAAGTACGAGGATAGACAGGTTCATTCACGAGAAAGCTCTCTCTCTCTCTCTCACACACACATTTTTTCCACAAAGATGGTGTAGCTGTTCGCCAGCTGCAGGAGAGCAATAGCAAAGTCAAGTGTAGCTACAGTCTTCTGATGCTTCGATGCTTCGGTTCTCTCGTCCGGAGTATGTCAAGTGCTTCACTGATCTTGGGAATTCAGGGCAGGTCCTCTAGCTGAGCATCTCAGGAAGCATCCCCTTTGCCTTGCTGCTTTGACTTTGATACGGGCAAGTCCGTTCTTTCCTGCTGCTCCAGGTCGCCGTCCGCGTCGAAGAGGCCCTTCGCAGCTCCTTGCAGCAACTTTGCATGCAGCCGATTTGGCCTCTGAAGGTGAAAAGGAGAGTCTAGCTATGGCCCTGCAGTCAGGCTCAGTCAGGTTCGGCGACTCTTGAACAATTATATAGTCTCTCCGACATCATACTAAAGCTCGAGTCAAGTCACATGTTTGTGCCCATCGAGTTCTGTTGGCTTTATAGTCTACCATCTGGGAAGATTAGGACGGCTCCTGCGGAGAACTCAACTCTCGCATAAATGCCAACACGCATGCTGGTCTTGCTTCTGTTTCTGCGGATCGCCAGATTCGCGACTACACTCTACCTGCCCATCCTGTTTTTTCTGCTGCCGTGGCAATTTTCCGATACCATCGGCCGAGACGATGGCAGGCATGAAGCGATCTGCAGATCTGTACGAATCATTGAACCATGCCCCACACATTCAGGGCCTTTACCGAATCGGGCTGTGCCCCAGTCTTGACACAGCTCCTTGGGATCCCTACTTCCGGCTACAGACACTGACACGAACCCGACTCTCCGCTTCAAGGCGGGGCCTTGCCCAGGCGCAGCCTGCGGCCTCCCTGCAGGCACCATTGGGCCACTGCTCAGCAAGGATGTCGCTGCAGCGGTCTGAAAAAGGGTCCCGACGTCGCCAGCTGTATTCTGTATTCCTATTGATTCGGACGATCGTCGCGAGTGTGTCGGTCATGTGCTTTGTTGCCTACCGTGACCGGCACGCTTGCTAGATCTTCCTTTGAGCCAGGATGCAAGCCTCGTGGTTTGGCTGTCTGTGGGCCAGAGTGTTGTTTGCGGTGCCTGGGTCGCAGTTTGCCTGCTGTCTGTGGGTGTTACTGCGACACTGGTGACCCCAACATCTCGAACCACGAAAGCTATGGACAGAGGGCGCCGGATAAACTAGCAAAAGTAAGCCTCCGCATCTTCCAGTATGGAAAACCCCACAACGGCAAAACGTCCAGTTCACTGCTCCACGACGACGACCTTCACCCCACCAGGCCTCCCACGACTTCGCCAGCTAATCGTCAAAGTATGTCTTTGTTGACCGAGAGGGCAAGTTTGGTTGTTGGAATCCCCCAGGGGTTCGTGTTCGATTAATTCCAAAGCTGCGAAGCGCTTGTTGGGCTTGCATTGGCCTGTAGTCGCTGGTCGACAGGCTGAATAAGTTAACGGGTATGGAAGAGCCCAACCAAAAACACATACAGCGCCTAAGCACTGGAAAACGGCTCTAGAACCCTGTCTAACGAAAGCCAGTTCAAAAAATCAGGAGCAAACACCCGACTTAGGCTCGGCCACGATGGAAAAGCTTGAACTATTTGTCTGAATCGTCGTGGCGAGCGAGAGAGAGAGGGAGAGAGAGAGAAAGACAGAGAAAGAGACAGGAGAGAGAGAGAGTGTGTGTGTGTGTGTGCGCTTTCCTTATTCCGATTGTGCGGGCACATGGCAGTCGCACACGCATGACTCCATGTTTCCATCCAGCTAATCAGAGCTATCCTCCTCTGATCGTGTGTAAGCAAAGGTTTTAAATGGAGACCCATTGATATCTGAAAATCAAATAGGAAAAGCACCTACGAACCAATTGCGTGATCGTATCAGCAAACATAGAAATTTGCTTGTGTTCGTCGATCCATCCTAATCTTTTCTTCGTCCCGCCATCCACCCACCCATCCCGTATACCAGCATGTGCGAGCTCTCCCAGTTCAGTGACCTAGCTAGAACATCCAAATCACGTCCCTAAGCCCCGTGTGGTACATTCTCATATACACAGTTCCACAGGAATCCCGGTGCTATTTCGGCGAAGTGCCGCACCAAACTTGCGACTTGGGCACAAGCTGGAATTCCAAGCCGTTCCACAGATGAACCGGTTCAGCGCTTCTCCTTTAGATAGAGGTTGGTGCCTGGTAGACTATAGTTCGCTGTCGCCGAGCACACCTTCGACTAAACCAATACTGTTTCCACACACATCTGTGCTCGTGTTCACTGCCCACGGCATGTCTACACCCTTCCTGAGGCCCTTCTGGGGCCTTCACCGTGCGGTGGCTTTTGCGCTGGGAACGTCGGCGAAGCTGCAGGAGGCCGCCGGAGGGTCGTGCTGACGTTGAGAGATCAAACCCAGGACCAGGATGAAGGTGATTGGCTCATGTTACTCAAGGAGTTACAGTCGGACGAAAGCTGTCAAGAAGACTGACAACATGGTGATGATATGTGATGATGATACTCGTCGTAATGATACTGATGCAAGAGTGGTGACGATCATGAATTACAATGACAATGGTGATGGTATTATTATCATACCGTGAAGAGCATCTTGCTGTCTGCTTGCGCTGATGTTATGTTTGTAACGTTGTCGCTTTGAGAACTGGTTTGTAGCTGCAGTTTTGTTGCTGCTAGTCTGGTTGTCACGGTTGTGGTTGTTATCCTGTCAGTGTGAAGCTTATCATGTCATGTGATTGACAATTGACCATTCTATCCTTGAAAGTGTCTTGATTCCTACATCTACCAGCATTTTAGCATTGCTCCAGGTTGTTACAGGTACACCTACTAAGGTTCTCGAAGTGCTATTGTAGCTGTCTGTTTGTTGTCGGGGGTTCCTTGCCTTTGAGGGAGAGCTGGTTCTGGATCCCTTCGCCGGTCGTGGTGCCCTGCTTGCTGCCCTCGCACGGCGCTGGCCGTGTCGATACCTAGGCACGCACGAAGTTTCGAGCTGTGTGACTTCTGGAGGGTCTCATGCTCCGAGCTGGGAGGGCATCAGGGCCTAAGATCCCGGTGGAGCCCATCATTGGGCAGAGTCTGACAAGAGCTGTTCCTGCATCCACGCTGGCTCCATGGATAGCTTTGACAGAGCTCTTCGCGTTTGATAGACTGCAAAATGATGCGGCCTGCCGAGATTTGAAGAAGCTCCGTCAAGGTAACACTCGGTCAGGGCTGCTGGTGTCCGCAGAAGAGAAACGCAACCTCGTGAGTCACCTAGCGAAGTCAGATTGTGGCACATGGCCAAGCAGCTATGCAGCTTGGCACGTGTCCGATGCTGCCAGGTTTCGAGTTGGATCCGGCACGAGTGGCCGAAGCAGAGGCCGTACTTCCAAAAGACACATTCTGTGCATGAGGATGCTGCCGAAACATAACTGCACCAACGTTGGCCTCAACGGACACAGGAACGTATGCCCTGCATCAGCTCGCGTCGATGTCGTGAGATCTTGTGTGCCCGCAACCAAACCAAACTTCGAGTTGAACGAGGGCGAGCTATTAGAGGCAACATCCCGGCTGCGAGGTCCCGACTGCAAAAGGTAGCCCGTACTCCACCCACACTTTTCTCGAATTCCTCTCCTTAGTCTAATATCACACCAGGGTCGACTGCAGCTGTGCTCTGGAAAAATAGATCTAGGGCTTCTTACCTTCACTCTGTGGAGTGGCGCTCTACTCCTGCGCTTGCAGCCTCGCTTGGACCGATGCGCTGTAGCCTTCTGCGTTTCGCTCGCAGAAAGGAAGTTTTTCCAAGTTGAAGAACCCTGCCAGCAGCACCTAGCAGCTCCGCACTTCAACGGCTCTGTCCAGAACCGCATCAGAGTTCTAGGTGGACCCTGCAAGCCCCTCTGGAGGTCAACCTCCAGGCGGCTGAGCTGCAGGAGCTGGCTGTGGTTCGCCGCGGCGATGTCCCGCAGATCGCATCTGGTGCTGTGGATAACATGGAGCATTTGTAGACTTAGGGACCCAGGCCTTGACTGAGAGAACCCCAGCCCACGGCGCAAGGACACGTATCATAGACCTTCTGCTAGTTCCTTCTCTTATTAGGTTCGAATTCTTCAGGCTCTTCGATTAGACTCAGAGGAGCAAGGCTTGTGGAGTTTGCAAGTTCCGCTCGTTGAACAAGCTTCGGAGGGACCCCTGCAGAACAGCAAGCAAAAATACCTCAGGCGCGACAGCTTCCTCTGCCGGACGCACCTTTGGCTGCCTTGAGATGGATGAAGTTTGCAAGCTCTACGGGACCTGCAAAGTCAACACACAGCCCGGTGTTATGCTTTGGCTTTGCAGAGTGTGGGTGAGCGGCTTACGAGCATTTTGAAGACGTGCCCAATGCCTAGCCAATCAATATAAATAAATGAATAAATAAATAAAGAAATATATATATATACATATACACATACATATACATATATATATACTTATTTATGTATATGGGTGCTGTCCTAAATCTGTAAGTTTATACAAACCTGAAATCGACCATATAAAGGTATGCAAAGCACTCGCACGCCAAAGGTGCACGAAAACCGCGCGAAAGGGAACTGCTTAGTGAGTTGTATTGTATGTTGTAAATTGTTTGATACGCATGCATTCTTCGAAGAGCTGTCGTGCAGTGCAGTACTTGGAAGGATTCCAGCTAAAGCGATGTCATTACTGTGCAGTGACTGTGCAGGGGTCTTGGCTCGCCGTTACTGGTCAACTACAGCTTTTTGACTCTCGTAACTCGTGGAGCATGGAAAGGGCTCTGCAAAAGCAAACCAGCTCTGGGACAAAGTCGTAGGGCCGTTTTGGGTGTTGGTGGCTATATTACATACACACACGTATATATTATTTTCACATATATAGATAGATAGATAGATAGATAGATGGATAGATAGATAGGGAGAGAGAGGGAGAGAGACTAGCTTCTCAGATACGAGAGCATCGTTGTGCCAGGGCAGCACACTCAAACAAGGACTCGGTCGACGTCGTTGTCTCGGATCTTCCCTTTGGCCGCAAGCACGGCAGTGTACGGAGCCCAAGGGTCGGGGCTGGCAGAGCGGACACGATGCGAAGGTTCGTCGAGTTGGTTGCATCTGGGGTGTGTGGGAAGCTATCGTGCAGGAAACAGCTTGCTCCAACCTACTTTGCGATTGGGGTTTTTGTTTTGTAGGTTTAGCCTGACTCAGCCCTGGTGTATTCTCAACCCTCGTATTCCCTGCACTATCACGCGGCCCCGGCTATTTCGGACTGGCAGGCCACGCGTTGTCAAAACCCGTTCCCAACTCAACCATCATCCGACCGCACGCTTCTTGCGGGCCATTTTGAATTGTAGTCAGAGTCGTGATAGATCAGGCACTTCTGTGGCCTTTCGCATCACAGACCTTACCATTTTCAAGCCCCAGCAGCCGGACAACCGCCAAAGTCTCCTACAAGCACATTGTCTCGCGCCAAAGCTGAGCCCGGGAAGGTGGAGGCTAACCGCAGCCTGTACCCTGCCGCTTTGCGCGAGGCGGCCTGCAGGGTCGGGACTGGGAAGGCCATGAAAATTGCTGATTGCAGACTGTTCTTTAGGAGTGTACTTCGGGTCTCAGTCGTCTAATGTTACACCCCGGCAACACAAACCACAAAAGAGTGGTTGATGTCACATGCGAGTTGGTTTGAAGTTTGAAGTCTTTCTGCAAAGGCACCTTGCTATGTGATGCGGGCACAGGTCGCACGGGTGCTCCATCCCGGCGGCCGTGGTGTCGTAGCAACCGGAGACGAGAGTGCCGAGGCGGCCTGTCTGCTTGAACAGTGTTGCAGGGCTTGGAGCTGTCATGCCTCAAGGACCCTTTCACTGCTGAAGCAGGAAGCCCCAGTATTTGCGCATTCAGCGACGTTGAAGTGCCTGCCCCAGATAAGGACTTATGCTTGTCCTGGGGAATGTCAACGATCCCTCACCTGAACCCTGAAGCCACTCAACAGACAAACAAATGCGTTCGAGATTTTAGCCATAGACCACCATATTCACTAATTACAGAACATGGCAGTTAAAGAAGCACAGGAGCACGAAAACTTCGTATCGGCTCTATAGATATATAACGAAGAAAACCCAGTAGCGAGGCCACAGCAATAGATACGAGCATATAGCCCTAAACAGCGCCGCGGGACAGATCTTGGACTCGGCCCTCTCTGGAGCGGATCTTTGCCGCGTGGATACCCTGTCCTTTGCCTTCGGAGGCGCTCTCATTTTCACCTGTTTACCAATGTGCGTTTCTGCTATTACAACACGTATCACTGCGAACTATGGGTCTATCTCAGTATTGGCAGTAGTAGTGGCAGTTGCAGCATCCGTATCAGCAGCAGCAGCAGCAGCAGCAGCAGCAGCAGCACAAGAAGCAGAGTAGCGGGCGTACAGTAGTGGGCTGGTGGTGGTGTTACAGTAGTTGCAGCCGTCGTGTCGTCGTCATCGGCAGAGACTTCAACCCTAATAAAATTTCTCCTTAGGAACGAGTGCCAGCAATCAGTTCATGTTCACATGATTCACTTGTGCCAGGCAAGAGCGACGATGCAGGTTGCAAAGCCGTTTGCTTTGCCAAAGGCAGTGGAGACAGGCTCCCTGATCGTGCTGAACCAACATGTCCGTCTGCAAAAACCCTCAAAAGAGTGCCCAAAAGCTATGTAGACTGTGTAAATCCTGAAAACTCAACCTACTGCCGACACCCCAAATCCCCCCATGGACACTCCTACTTTCAAACTGTAAAGATCTCTGCATCTCTCTCTGCATCTCGAGCGCCCTCTGAGCATGGGGAGCATCTCTGAGCATGGCTTCAGGGATCTCTTCGACTGGAGCCTCGCCGAAGCCGAGGTCAGGGCTTTTTCCAGTCGCTTCTGGGCTCTTAACTGAGCTTTTTTTGAGGGGGGGCCTATCGGGTATTACGTTTCGGATTGGGGACTGGAGGCTTACATACCGGAAAGCGCATTGTGGAGTTTTGGGGACTACGGAGTGAAAGATGCATTTGGCAAGCAAGGTATGCCAGCTTACATCAGGATCTTGCTAGTGCCTCCTCATCCCATCCCCAGGCCGCTTTTCTGGTGAAGCCAGCCTCGCGCTACTTCTCGGTATTCCCAGTATTCCTGTCAGGGCGACTGGCAGCGCAAATGGCGTTTTGCAGAGACCGTGCCGAAGCCTCGGTCTGAATCCGGAAAGTAAGGCGGAAACGCGAGGATGAATACCAGTAGAAAAACGGAGCAGCCGAATCCAATCGTGTCCGTGTCAACATCTGTTCAAAGCAGGTGCCTGATAGTGTACTTGAACAAAGAGTCACTTCGAAAACATGGCAGTGGGCCTACACAAGAACGTGGTCCACTCGTCCCCTGGTCGACACGCTCCACTGGTCATGTAGTCTCTCAAGGGCAGGATTTCAAGGTTTGAGGCTCAAGTCCAAGCGCAAAGCATCACACATCCAGCATGTAGGAGTGCAAGTGTTTGCACTTGGGCTGTTCAGTGGGGATTCCCCATGTGCGATCTGCATCTTCTGCGGTGCTGGCCCAGCTCAGGATGGACATCTACTCGCCCGGGAGACCGCCAGGAAAAAACCATGCTAGCAGTCTTGCGTGGTGTGGGTCGTGACATGATGTCAGAGCACTTTCGAAAAGGATCTCCGCACTCAAAGCCTTGGCCAGGTCTAGGCTTCCACGCTTGACCCACAGAAGAACCCCTGGGGGAATCTGAACTCTCCCAGTCAACCGAGTTTTCACATCCTGACCAGCAACTTCCGATGGCTTCAAGAGACCAGAACGGTAGATCCAATATCATCGTGGCCTTCTTTCACTCAGATCCAGCAGCATTTGGGATAGTCGGAAGAGACCTCTTGGCGATGCTGTTCGGCTGCGTGGCCTGTCACGCCTGCGAATGCCACTGTCGAGGCGGACGACCTGTTGCGGAATGTCAGGGCGGGACAGTGCATGATCTGAAGCGGGTCTGTGAGGTCTGCTAAAGGTACCTTGCTAGAGACTTAGTATGCGAAGACTTGAGGAGCGAGCAGAGTTGGATCGGTTCCTTGTCTCTTTGTTGCCCTGCAAAGATGTTTGGGTATCGATTCAGGTCGAGTCCGGCATCCTTTGATGGCCGCATGCCCGGACCACGTGTTGAGACTTCAAGCGGTAGCTCGGGGTTCGCCTTGTGGAGGAGCGCGAGCGAAGCAAAAGAAGTGACATTGAGGCATTGAGGCTTGAACATAGTTCCGAAAGCCGTATATGACCTCAGATTCCGACATTCCCAAGGCATAATGCCCATGCCATGCGGCGAAAAGTCCAAAGCCGGCCTCAGGCCCAGCCTCCCCGCCGGCCCGAAAGAGGAAAGCCGGCGGCACCAGAAAGAAGGCGCCCCCTTTGTCGTGACAGGAGCCTAAACCCTGAACCCTGAACCCTGAACCCTGAACCCTACCCAAACCCTAAACCCAAAACCCTAAACCCTACAAAAGGGACTCCTTTCCTGATCTTTCCGGCAGGTGGCTGCGAGCTTGAAGCGACTGCGTCAGATCCCAAAGAGCCAGGCCTGTTTGAAGTGCTATTGTAGTAGCAGGCTTTGCGGGCGTTCGGCACCTTTGGAGCTAGCATCACCTGCCCGAAACGCTAGGGATTGTCAGGAAATCACATGAGAGATCGATGTGCAAAAATCCATGCCTGCGAACAGAACACATTTGGTCTAGCGCCTTACTGTGCACGTTCCGCCTTGGAAGCTCAGGGTCTGAGATCGCACGTCACCATCCTCGGCCTTGTTTTGTACACTTCCCGAGAGGCCCCCAGGACCCTGAGCTGAGATGTGAGCTGCCGCAGCTTTGAGATCCAGATACTTGGGAGTGGCGTGCCCTCCCACCCTATATCCCTCACCAAGCTCCACTCGGCCTGAAGTGAACACGGTCTGCACGCCCTGAAGTCTGAAGCTTACGATCAAACTGAGAACCGGAAATCCGCTGCTCGGAGAGCAGAGCGAAGCCAAAAACACCTCCCGAAACCGCCGAGCTATGCTCAAAGATTCCCAGCCAGACCCGTAACTCGCCACCACCTCCTCGATGCCATGCCTGCGGCCCGCACGGCGACAAGTGCAAGGCGCTTGAAGCAGGGTGTAGGTGGGACCCTGAAGGTCAGCCAGCTCGACTTGAAGAGTGCGGATACTGAAGTTGTTTGGATCATGGTCGCTTGAGTAGTCTTATCTGTACAGTGGAGCATTCCAGCGCAAGCTCAGGAAGGGTCGAATGGAAAGAGGCTTGGGAGTTGAGTAGCGTCCCTGCTGCTCACTGTGGTGCTTTTGTAGGATCGGAGACGACCGTGCAAAGCACATCAATCATAGCAATGTACGGCACGAAGTTGCCGTTGAACGTTTAAATGGTTACGACGGCGCTGCAAATTATGCAGAGCTTGCAAAGCTCCATTCGGCAAAATCCTGCAGGCCAACGCTGGCGGCAGAGTTCGCACCCCCGCCCAGGGGGAAGGTGCATGGGGAGGAAGAGCTTGACAGGATGGTTGCACCGTTCCTGCGGTACTGCGTTCTTCAGCACATAATTAGGCACACGCGACCTTCATCCGAATTGGGGTTTTCATCCTTTCACATCATGTGGCAGAGTGTGGACGGGTGTATTTGAGCGATTCCCGTCCAGTCCCGAGCCAAGACTTTCCAAGCGCGGGGTCCTACCAGTCGCGTAGCGCCTGCCAGAGGCCACTGTGGCCGCAGCCACACGCGAGGAGTGTGTGAGGCACCCCGCGCCGTCAGAACTGTGGGGGCTTGTAACTTGCACGCTAATAGTTGCCGCAAGTCTTGTGCCGGTCAGCGTGATGGGCTTGCCTGCGTTGTGATGTTCCGGGGTGAGTGGGGACGCATGGATTTGCATTTCCAACCCTTAGTGATATGCCTTCAGCCGTGCCCTAGGTAGGTGTGGGTAGGTGGGTGGGTGGGTGGATGGGTGGGCGGGTGTGTGTGTGTGTGTGTGTATGTGTATGTATCTGTATGTGTGTGTGTGTATGTATCTGTATGTGTGTGTGTTCCGTCCATGCATGCCTTGAGTCTGTACTCAGTGCCTGCCGCGTCGATGGCTTATTCAAGCATGCAGCTCTGTGTCTGTCTCTTTGGTATTTCCTATAGATCCCATCCGCTTGCGATGCCAGGGAAGCAGTTGTGGCAGGATGTCCGGAATGCCTGGGTGAAGAGGCCATTGCAGCCCGGCAGGGTCGCTCCAGAATGTGTCTGGAGCTGGTCAAACTTCGATTGGGCAGGCAGGTGTCAACGAACTGGCTTCATATGTGCAAGTCTACAGTTCAGTGCTTGGAATCGAGAGTCAGAGTCTGAGAGTTTTGGGATCTTCGGTCAGGGAGGGCACTGGCCCAGTGATCGCCGCATCCGCTACTCCGTTACATCGCCAAAGCCGCATGCAACCCAGATCCAAGGAATACCTTGCAAACGTGGCCGTCTCCGTCGTCGAAGACTCGGAGGATGCAGCAACCCTGTGGAAAGAGCTGGAGGCTGCGAAGCGGGCAGAAGGGCTGGCATGTTGGGCTAGGCCCGTGGCTTTGTGCAAGATCCTGGTAGGTTGCAAGACAGGCTTGGACACAGATACTGCTATTAACGTATGTTAGTGCAGCATGTTTATCGACCCAAGCTCTCTGCACCCTGGGACTCCAAAAGAACTTGCAAAGCTGATGCAAGTCTGGTTCGCCGGAAGAAGAAGCCTTTTAGTTTAGCTTCCGGCTTGACCAGGAGGGCTTCTTGCCCATGCTCCAGGAGTACGAGGACCCCGTTTGTTGGATTGGGTGTGCCGGACGCGCCAAACAGATGCTTTTTCAGAATTCTTTCCACGTGTCATCCTTGATGGACTGATTATGAATTGACTCCCAGGATCCCATGAAGGTGAAGCATATAAGAAGGCAGCCATGCATCTGATAGAAGGGCTCGGGCTCGAGGCGAAGCCCAATACCAACAAGAATGGGATTGCCGCATTGCCCGTTCAGAACCTTGTGTTGCCAGGAGATTTCGCCGGAGTTGGCGAGCTCGATTTGCGAAAAGGTCATTGAGGCACTGCCAAGCAGTTCTCGACAGTCACCAGTTGCTTGCAAGAGTCAGCCTCGTATTCACGCTCGCACGCGCCCAACATCACAGACGAACGAAGACAGAGAGCGCGTGCGCACGGGCGCGACATCGCAGTTCGGCCTCTCCATCACGTACTCGCTTCACTCAGCATGTGCTGAAGACCGGCTCCCACGAGGAAGCAAAGCAATAAACTTCAACATAGATCGTCTGCGTAGGACTTGGGACCTGATGCACCTGCAGGGTCTTCTGCACACCTCGCAACCCAACTTGTGGCAACCGCCATCCTGTCAGATGCTGCTACAGAACTCAGGGCTGCAGCCTCCTTTCATCTAGGCAGCCGCGCCGGCTGCACCCTCTGCGGAGACAGATGCCGTCGAGGCGTGCCTGTGAGCTTGGCAAGGTGTGTGTTCGATTTCCAGACATCACCAGACAGGATGAGGAAGTACAGACGACAAGATGCGAGCAATCAGTTTGTGCAGGGCTTGGGGTCATGAGTGGCAGCAGACATATGCAGACTGAACAACCTGCACTGCAAAGGCGCAGTGCGTAGAATTAGGTGGTTGCAGGAAAGAAATGTACTCACTCTTTCCAAGCAACCTGTTTACATATTGAGTCTGCTGGCCAACTGGGTTTCCTTATCCTTCGTCCTCCTCGTCAGGACAGTGACGAGTTTCTTTGCCGCGTGCCGAATCACGGCCTGAATCGATTCGGTGAGGTGAGGTCGCGAGGCCAGTGTCTTGTGACATGGCTGTACAGTTGGAACATACTTTAGCATGCTGTGCCGTATTGTACGCTACCCTACGATACGAGACTAGGCTAGACTTTACGAGACTAGCTTTACTGTAGAAGGCTATGCGGCTATACTAATGCTGTACTATCCCACTATCTTGCAGAAAACACGGCAAAAGGCTGAACCCATTACTTTACGAGGGGAGCCTGCATAGCAAAGATGGCTAGCCTAATGTCTCACCTCAG